AAGGGCGGAGGAGAAAACAGAGAGTGGGGAGGCGGCCCAAACCACCCCGCGAAAGGAATAAAAAAATTTAAAGAGGAAAGAAATAGGAACCAGACAAAGGCGATACATTCCTTTTGAGATTAACCCAAATTTTAAAGAATATGAATTCAAAGAGTGGCCTGACGATCTTCCTGTGAACTAGCAACTAGTTCATAAATCCATTTCATTTCAAAGCCATTCTCCTCACAATCTCTACATGAAACGAGCTGGGGGAAACAAAAGGTTTTCTGTCTCCAGACAGCCCCCCCCTTTTTTTTTACTAACCACCCCTGCTGATAACTCTCTGTGTCCCTTTCTCTTTCCCTTCCCTTTTCTGCTGCTGTTTACTTTTTTCCCCCCTTTCCCTTTTCAGTGTTCAAAGCACTTTGCAAAATCAGCCTGCTAGGAGCTGGAATGCATTTCTCCCTCAGTGAAACGGAACTCACAAGCGCCAGGTTTTCCTGGAACATCTCACTAGGACCTCAGAGAGGAGTACCAGACACATTACGAGACCTTGGCAGTCTTTGATGAGGGTTAGGGGTAGATGAGAACCCATGCAGGTCCTATAGAAGGGTCCCTATATATCATCCCTGTCTGCCCAGCGCTCTGCTCTTTGCTGGCTTTGAACACTGAGGCTTTTTCCTTCTGACCTCTCTCCCCAAAATGACCTATTAACCCACTCACACTTATTACCCAGGGAGAAGAACCCCACTGTTTGATAAGCCTGGTTAAAAAAGAACAGCTTCTCTCTGGCAAAGCGCAGACCATGATTTGTGTGGAGATTTCTATAGAGAAAAAGAATCTCTCCGGAGAAGACAGAAGTTCCTTTTCCTTGGGCCTCAGGACTTGGAGCATTCAATGACTATCCCCTCGTTGGGATGCATTCCAGCCAGACTGTTCGACTCGGGTGGAAAAAGCAGCTTACTTTTTTTCCTGACTAAGCTGGACCAGAATCGGTTTTGCCTCCTGCCTCCCTCTCTAAATTCCCAGCGGATTAAAACTTTTGAAAAAAAAAAAAAAGATTGAAGCAAAAAGCACAGGAGAGCAGATGCCCCCACAAAAGTGGTTTCTGGGTGTAGGGTTTGCATCCACAGTTGAGTCCATGGTTGGCTGTGGCTCTGGTTTCCCCACCACGATGCCCCAGGAGCCTTGGTGAAGTTGCTAGCCCTGCTCCCTTGCCTCAAAGTAGAACTGAACCTGTGTGATTTGCAGGGTCCTTTGGACACAGATTAGGCACAAACAAAACACAGTGTGGCAAAAGGATCATCCTGGCAGCCCTGAAAACACAGTAGTGAGATATGTTTGCAGGAAGCGTGTCATGTGTCGTGTGACTGCACAGCCATAGGAGGACAATGAGTCAAGGGTCTTTCTCTCTGGAAGATGTGCCCTGGGCCCCAGGAAATGGAAATAGCTTTACTTTGGCTTCAGCAGCCAGGCTGAATCGTCTGTTGATGAATGTGAGCAAGGCTAGCCCATCTCACCTGAACATTGCAAAACAGTTTGCTGAAGCTTGTGCTAGGTGTGAAATTGCATTCTCCAGCTAGAGGGTTTGACTCCTATCAGGTGACCCTCTTGCTTAGGAATCTCTACAAATTTCTTAACTTTGCAGTTTTTGTCTCCTTAAGTATAAAACAGAGAATATAATGGCACATACCTGCTGGTGTTACAGTGAGGATTAAATGAAATAATGTCTATAGGAACTAAAGATACTAAGTATGGTTGCTTGTTTTATTATCAATGTGAGTTTTATTATATATTTTTACTCTTATTTATTTGTTATATACCATTAGTGTTGTGAATTAAATATTTAGTTGTTACATTAACGAAAGCTACCACTGATGTTAAGTTGCTCTTGGTAATGAGTGTTGTGGGCACTCACAAATAGGAGGAAAAAATCCCTCCATTTGGGTCTTATTTTTATATTTTATTTTTTGTGTATGAGCATTTTGCCTATATGAATATCTGTGCACCAAGAAGCCAAACAGGGCATTGGATCCCCTAAGGCTGGCATTACAGATGTTTGGAGATGCCATGTATTTGCTAGGAATAGAACCAGGGTCCTCAGGAGGAGCGGCCAGTGCTCTTCACCACTGAGCCATCTCTCCAATCTTCCCCTCCCTTTGTGCCTTATCTTGGCAAAGGCAGCATTTTCTATTTAACAAATCTCACTTGAGTGTCTATCATGGGCCAGGTACCTTTCTAGGAGGGAGAAGATGAAAGCAGCGTAGACTAAGTTCCTGTCCCTCATGGAGGAAAATAATTGAGGGAATATATAGTGTTTAAAATTGCAGTGCCAAATTCTATGAATATTAAACAGTGGAAATTTCTAGAGTAAAACAGACCAAGTGTCTGTGTTGAGGGTGAGTGGGTGTCTTCCTTTCAATAGAGCTATCAGGGAAGCTCCTGAAGGAGGTGATATTTAAACAAGATCTGAATAACATGTGGGATGCAACCACTCCCAGATCTGAGGACAGAACATTCCAGAGAGCAGCAACACATGGACTGGACTGTAGGAGCTATGAGCTGCATGTGTTAGGGGCTGCAGTCTGAGGCTTGAGCAGGGAACACAGGACAGAGGGAGAACAAACGAGTATAGGAGATGGAAGGGAGCTGGATTTTTCCTCAAGTGTGACAGGACGACACTGGGGTGTTCTGAGCCGAAACAATCTATGTTCCCCCTGAAACATCAAATTGTTTGTGATCTATTGGTTATGTTCCCTTTGGAGGAACACAAACTCTCTCAATGAATAAAGAAGCAGCCCTTTCTGTATCTATTGTCTGAGATACTGCTGTGAAAAGAATGTTAAGACTGGACTATATAATTGAATTATGCAGGAAACCTGTGGATTGGTACCTTCCCAGAATGGACCAGGACCCTGGGGCTGAGCGACCCCCTACACTCACCAGCGTTCTTTTTAGTAGCTGCCTCTTCAGCTAAAATGATACCTCCTTCAACCCTGGTACATTTGGGAGTCAGGGATGTGGTACCCGATTCCATCTGTGAGATTTTATTAGTAGCCATTGGACATTGGCTAGGGCACAGATGGAAATCAAGCAAATTCTGGAACTGTCCATAGCTCAGGCGGAACCCTGTGGCTGGTCTGTAAGAGCAAAGGGCAAAGCCTCGGAACTGGAGCCTAAGAGCTGCCTGGGAAATCACCTAGTCAAAGCCTCATAGAGAGGACAAAGGGGACCCCCAGACAGGTTGGGCCCCTGCAGTCTTATGGACCTTAAGCCACTCTCCTGATTTCATCTTAGTTTCCTTACTTGAGATCTCTCTGTGTCTCTATCTTCAGCACACTACCTATTTAATTCCCAGAGGACAGAGGAGGTAACGTTAGGTTGTGTTTGACAATCTCTTTGTGATATGTCAGTGCCCTAGGAAACACAATTGGGATGCTTTGCTGTGGATGATAATGAGAACTTCAGCCCTCCCCCTTCAGTTTCCTCCTCCACGGGCCAGGCTTGTACCTTTCTGTCTTTATAGACCGTCCCTCTGCAGAGTGCTCCAGCACTTGTCTGCTGCCAAGCCTCGCAGAACACACTGATGCCTTTGTGTATGCGTGTCCACAGCCCCCACCCAGCCCACCTCCTTTTCAGAACAAATCCCTCCTTCCCCTGACTGTGCCCCCATTGTACTTGGAACACAGCTCTCTTAAAGTGCCTTCCCGTGTTTGCATGGTGATGGTGTGTTGGCATCTTTTTCTCCAGCTTTGGGGTGGGTACTGGAAGGACAGGGTGGTAGCTGCTCCATCTTTCTGTCCCTTTATACCTTGTAGGTGCTCAAGTCATTGCCATATGAATAAGGAAATAATTCAGGGAACACACAGTTACCTCCAAGTTCAGCATAGTGCCCAGAAAGGGAATAGGAAAAGACTTAAATTATCTGAGAACATCCTCCAATTTACATTTATTAGAATAGACATGGAATGCACCTTTTCACAACCAATGGCAGGCTGCTGTCAGTTCTGTCTGTGTGAGCTAAGAATAGCACTTACAATTTCTAAGTGGCTTGGGAGGAGTCTAAAGAATAACATTTTGAGAGATGTGAAAATTATGTGTAATTCAAATTTCTGTGTCTCTATGTAAAGTTTTATTGGCACACAGCCATCCCTGCTTATTTACATACTGTCTGCTGTGCTACAAAAGTAGGTCTGGGTGGTTGCCCCTGAGTTAGTAAATACCTCAGAGCCTAAGAACATATTCATTATAAAATAGCCAAATAAAATAATAATAAAATATTATTATAAAAATGTTAGCACGTGCTTATAATCCTAGCACCTAGGAACACTCGGTGACTTCAAATCAGTGTGGGTGAGATGAGGACCGCCCCTATTAAAACAACAATAAATCCCACAAAAATAAAATAAACAAATAAAACAGTACTATATGGCTCTCCACAGAAAATGTGCTACTTATGGGCTAAAATAAATTAGAACAAGTTCTTTCTGGCTTTGAGTTCAGATCCTTCTACATGGGAAACAACCCAGAAACTGAATGAAGAACAGACCAGAGTGGGTAGGCTAAGTTCTAAACTAAGAGCCATGCTAGGACTCTGGGTTACCATTTCTAGTCTGATATCAGGGTTTTTTTTTCCTCTGTATGTATTAAATCATCCCCCAAAACATTGCCTGTGCCACTTTCCCATTCTATGTCAAGTCTATAAAACTTGCTAAAGACAAGCCACTGAGAGTTCAACTCTATAAAACCTACCAAGACAAGCCACGGAGGGTTTTCTCTTTCAGTCCAATGACTCTTGACCCAAGATCCCTCAGGTGCTGGGCTCTGAGGTAGATGTTTACAGATATCATCTCACTTAGCATTTGTCTTGTGCTCCAAATCTAAGAGATAGATTATTCTTAGTTCATATATTGTAACTTTGGAAGGTTTTACATACAGAGTAGTGACATGGTTGCTATAGAATCCCGGGCGTTCTCCTTCCTGCGTCATTGTGACCTCAACCATAGGCTACACTGCCTGCCTGACTTCCTCTCAGCACCATCATCTGAACCCTGTTGATTGCCTCTTTAAGGGTAAGTCTACAGCTTAGTGAAGGACTAGACATATCTGAGAAGCAGATTGTGGTACTGTCAAATATCGTCAACACACACACACACACACACACACACACACACACACACACACACACGGTTCCTTTCATTATTCAATGTCCTTTTCATCTCTGGCTTACCTAAATCTCATCTTGTCTCAGCTTGCAGCCCATCTCTGTCAGGAAACTTGCCCTAGATAATTCACTATTGCCTACTCTCCCATCCCAGGCTCCCACCCTTCCCTGTGTCCCCATCATCTAATGCCAAGGTCATGGCTTCCCAAATCCTACTTCCCTTAAGAAACAACCATGAGGTTTGGTCTTCTCTCTACATGTTGGATTCAATGGCCCCCCTCTCATCCCTGCCAAGCCCTTTAATGTACTGCAGCCTAGAACATATGGGACATGAGCTACTTAACCCCCTCCCTCCCATTCTCTCTACTACCAACAGTGAACTAGGAATAAATTCCATTTCCTGAAGGAGTTGGCAAGGGGATATTTCTTTAAAATGTGTCTCTGAAGATGAAAGTAGCATATATTAAAAAGTCTTGTTGGTTTGTGTTCCCTGGCTTACTTTAGACTTGGTTTCTCCTTAACTCAATTACAGGTCACCTGGGGCCAGGTGGGGCTCTGAATTACATGAGTTGGAAATGGTCCTTCTTACTGCATGGCACGGGAATGACTTCATGGTCTTACCTTCAGCCAAACTTTTACTACACGACACTGTGCACTCTTCTAAACAAATCTACCACCTCTCTCACGTCTAGCTTCAGTCCTGAGAATGCAGTGGTAGACTTGGGTGTCTTAGTCTCAGCCAATCATCCATAAACCCAGGCACACTATCGTAAGTGGAGTGAGTGATTGTGGGAAGTATCTGGACTTACATTGAAAACCTGTGCAACTGTGAAGTTTTGATGCTTAATGCTGTTAACTTGGGAATACTTAATTACCTCCTTTCTCTTCCTAAAGAACTAAGGGAGGTTGACAGCTTAAATTACACACTAAGTGAATGCACTCAATTCTAGTGAAATATGACAAGCAATGGTGGGGCTCCACTCAGCACTTAGTATTTCCTTTCTTTGGAACAGTGAGAGAATTAGCTGAGGGATGAAGTTGTAAGAAAAATATAGAAGCATACAATGAAGATTTACATGTATTGGGCTCTATAAATCTGCAAAGGTTCTCATTTCTATAGTTTATATGTACCTAGTTGGATGAAGGCATATTGTTCACCAGAACAGAAGGGGCTTAAAAGCAAAACTGTGCAAGCAGCCTGTCGAGGAAGCATGCCCATTTTCTCTTGCTTTGAGGTGATCTGTTCTTGCATGCTTTACTTTGTCCAATTTGTTATAGGAAACTTCCATGGAAACCCCTTATGCTGTTAAGTAGAAACTTAGATTGTGGATTTTTACAAAGGTCAAGGTGATCAGCCAATACCAAACAAACAGGAAGCCCATGACTAGAGAGAGCAGTTTTCTTTTACATGCACTACTCCACTTAGTAGCAGTGCTACAGAGCATCTTTTAAATAATAAATACAAAGGCATCTGTTTCTACAGTGTCACACTTGCAAAGTACTTGCTTTAAACACTTTTCCTATTTTTAATTTAATTTTAATTAAGTGTGGATATACGTGCTTTGTGTATGTTTGTGCATGTGTGGGTGTGGATGTTTGCAAAGGTCAGAGGACAATATATATGTATGTACGTGCTACTTGTGTGGGTGCTCACAGAGGACAGGACACTGGATCCTTCCTGGCCCCCTACAGCTGGAAGCTGTAGTTACAGGCAGGCAGTTGTGAACTACCCAGAATGGTGCTGGGCATTCCTCTCTTAAAGGGCAACATGCACTCTTAACTGCTGTGTTCTCTCTCCAGCCCCTGCCCATGTTAGTGATTGAGACAGATTCTCTTGATAGGACATGGGTCTTGCTGTTTTAGACGAGGCTGGCTGGCCAGAGAGACCCAGGAACCCTCGTGTCTCACCTGCCCAGGACGTGTGTTGGTGGAGTAAGCTGAAGAAGCCATGGATTCTGGGTCCTGGCTTCTGGGTGGGGCTGGGTCCTCTATTTTCAATGTACTCAAGGGCTTTGCCATTTCCAGGACATAGTGACTGCTGACAGTCGCTTTCAGGATCCAGGATCAAGAGTAACTTCAAAGCCAGTGGTGGTGGGACAATACAGGGCAGGGAGGGGATTGGAAATCCCAAATGATCACTTTGCTGGAGTCAGCTATTTCTTTATGGGTTGGAGATGCATTATCCCTGCCCAGCAGTCCTAAAGAAACCCAGCTGTTCCAATCCTCAGAGAAAGCCTGCCCTGTGTCCCCACATCAGCAGCAAATATCCACAGACCTAAGGGCCTCAGGCCTGTTTGTCCAACCCAGTTCAATGCCAGCTGGTGCCGATGAGCCAGGAGATGGAATCCCAGCCATGCAAGGCCTGGTGGAGGGGGCAGAAGGAGAGGAATGTGGGGTGGAGTCACAGCCCACTGTGCCCAGCTCCAGCCTAGATTTTGAAGAGTTAGATTCATTAGCAAACAAAAATAAAACAACAATAAAAAAGAGTATTCTAGCTATCAGCAACCTTTTATTTTAAATGCCCATCCAGCATGGGCCCCAGGCTTAGGTGGTGGCAGAGGCACCGGTGTCTATCCTCAGCATACCCAGTGAAGTACGGGATGGTACATTCCTTTCTGCCCACAGAAGCTGAGAAATAAGGGGCAGTTCCCTTCTTCACATGAAAAGCTGAAGGGAGGTCGGGCTAATGAGCAGGCACAAGTTTCTCAGTCTTACTCATGTGCACTATGTAAAAGCTGAGGTTTACAGAGTATGAGATCCCTTCATTTGCTGAGTCTTGGCACTCTGTGGTTTCATCCTTGAAGACGTAGACAAGTGGGTGTTACAAGGGTTTCCTCAAACTTTGATGCCTGGCGGTTCCATGACTCATGCTCTAGACTTGAGCTTCTGGTCTTAGGAAGGGCCAGAAAGTAGTGACTAGAAGCAAGACCTGTGCCTCTGCTGACCTTTGGTGGCAGAAGCCACAACTCAATTCGCCATCCCCAAATCACCCTACGTAGTCGTAGTCATTCTTCCTTTAGTATCTGTGGGAGGGAGGTGATTGGTTATAGTACCTCATGTGGGTACCAGAATCCATGGATGCTCAAATCTCTTGTATAAAAATGCTCTAGCATTTGCAACGAACCCAAGCACATCTTCCTGTATACTTTAAATCTTCTCTAGACAGCTAACGCATTATGCCCAATGCAATGTAAATGCTATGCAAATAAGTGATATAAGGGATAGTAACAAGTAAAAACATCTGTGCACGTTCAACAAACATGCAAATTTTTTTCAAGCATTTTCAATCCACAGTTGACTGAATGGAGAATGCGGAACCCACAATATAGGAAAGACCTATATACCTGCTGTTGTCAGAATAAAAGTCCCCCTTCCAGACAGCTCTTTCTTTCCTCTCAAGTTGACTGAGGGACCCAACGCCCCACCCATCCTATCTGTCCTCGAGTTCCATAGCCTTTCATGACCTGAATTAATCCAGGTCTTCTTCCCATATATACAGATTCATAGCTCCCTGTTATCCCAGATTACAAAGGCTCCCTTGGGGTTACATGCCAGTCCCATGAGCAGATTCATTCACCTTTTAGAGGGTTTGTGGAGGAAATGATGAAGACACCACCTTGGGTCAATCCAGTGGGAGTTTGTGTCCAAGTGAGCTGTGTTAAAGTCCTAGAATTTTGCATATTATATTTATGGCAGTCTGAATACATCCTCAAGTCTTCAGAGTCTCCCTGTTGTGACTGACCCTTCCCCAGTGTCAACCAATCTCTGTAAACCAGAGTAGCGAAGGATCTCACACATTAGCCTTCTAACTCTATCCCTCTACCTCTGCCTCTGCCCCAACCGTCAACACCTGTTCTAAGCAGCAACGTTCAATGCAGTTCCAGTGTTTACGTTTTTAAAACAAGCAGATAAGGATGGTTCATGAAACACAAACTTCTGACCACGACAGTAATGATGAAATATTACAGCTAATATAAAATGGCCCTTGTAGCATTGCTGTCAGAGTTTCAGAGAGTTAAGAATGAACACAATCTTAATTTCTGCCCCTATGGGTCTGTCTAGCATGTAGCCCAATGTGAGTCCTGCATGGCACATTTGAGGGGCCATGCTCCACCGAGAACCACCAACTTCTCTATTGCTGAAACTGGAGGCTCTCTCCATTTGTTAAAGCCTTTACCTCTCCCTGGACCTGATGTCCAGCCACTTTCTTTGGCTTGAGCTAGATGCACCTTCTGGTTTCCAAACAGACAGCAGGCCCTTTAATTCTCTCCCACCTCTGCCCAATCCTTTCAAGTCTCCTTTTCAGGCAGGCATTCCCCAAAGCTCCATCCTCAGCATGTTTACCTTCTGCACCTCCCTGTTTCTCTAGCCCATCCTCTCCTATGACTTACACTCTTGCTTCTACACCAATAATGATCACATCTCATGACGTAAGTTCTGAGTCACAAACTCATTTCCTACTGTGCCCAAATATTCCAGTGACATCTCATAAAACCTCTATATTCATGTGTTGTGATTAGTTCTATGTCTCAACCTGGCTAGGTCACGGTCTGCAGAAGCAAATTAGCATACTAGATGCTAATATGAGGATAATTTTATAGATGATATTAACATTAACATCTGAAGACAAGGAATAAGGCTGATGATCCTTCATCACACAGGTGGGCCTCATCCAAGCAGTTGAAGATTTTAATAAAAAACAGGTCAAGGTCTTCCAAGGACAATACAATTCTGTCTATGTTGACCTCAGGTTCAGCTGCTTCATCAGGTTGAGAGGTCTTTGTTGAGTCGGTAGTCCACCTCTATCCTGCATATTATGAAGTGTGAGCCATTCCTCAAAGCATAATCATCATAGCCCCCCATTTGCGTTTGTCTGTCTCCATCTTTATCCATCTCCTCCTCCACACAGGTTTTCTTTAGACAGGTATTTCCCAATGACGCCTGTGTGCTAATACCTTACATCTAAGTGGTGTGGGTCGATTGAAGTAGTTCTCAACCTGTGGGTTGAGACCTCCTAGGTCACATGTCAGATATTTACATTATGATTCAGAACAGTAGCGACATTACAGTTAAGAAGTAGGAATGAAATAATGTTGTGGTTGGGGGTCAGCACAACACGAGGAACTGTATTAAAGGGTTGCAGCATTAGGAAGGTTGAGAGCCACTGCTCTAGTGGGAGGTAGAAGAATCCTTAGGAAGTGGACCACAGCAGGAAGGAGTTGAATCACTGGAAAAGGATTGTGGGGCACCAGTCTCTTCTTTTTCTCTTTGGTGCCCGAGATGAGTAGTTTCCTACGCCACATGCTCCCACCATAATATGCTGCCTTGTCACAGGCTCTAATGCAATGAGGCTCAACAAGACTCATTAGAGGCTCACTGTAGATGGAAAATGTCAAAACTCTGAGCCCCAGTAAATATTTGTTTTTTTGGTTAATTATCTCGGGTGTTTTGTTATAATGGAAAGCTGACCACCAACATACCTCCACCACCACCACCACTAGCAGCAGCAACAGCAGCATTATTGTGTTTCTGAGAATAACACAAATAAGAAGCTCTCTCAAATGTATGTTGTTTACTTAAAGCTAATCTTTAAGTACTACTCTAAACACTATCATTTTCTCAGTCACCTAGAGCCAAACCCTCACCCAAATTGAACTTCTCATGTGCAATCCATGTCCAAGTCATGGCAATTCTATACCCCCCCAGCTGTTACACCATGGACTACCCCCCTGGCCAGTCAGAGGCTCTACCCCCTGTCCACAGTGTTTTATCCAAGAACTTGGCCCATGACTCAGAGGAAATCAGTTTGAGGTCTTAGAGATTTTGTATGTGCACTATGAAAGGAAGGACTCTCCATCTTTGGATCATGTACTATAAACTATGCTTAGCAGTAAATGCTTTGATGTGGGAAAAGGCTTTTATATATACTGTTGTTTTTTTTTTTTTTGAGACAGGGTTTCTCTGTCTTGAAACTCAATCTGTAGACTAGGGTGGCCTTGAACTCACTGAGATCCACCTGCCTCTACCTCCTCAGTGCTGGGATTAAAGGTGGGCACTGTCACTGCTTGGCTTTTATAGCTTGTGGCTGACTTTGATTTCTGAATCCTCAGGCAAGATTTAATAAATCGTAAATAATATATCACCACAATGCCTCTTCCTCTTTGTAGCGTGTGACTTCAGGGAGAAAGGATGAGTTTACAAACAAAATGAAGTAGAGACATTAGGAGCAGAAGAATGGAGAGAGTCTTGACCTTGTTTGCATCTCCTGAATCAGCCCTGCATGAAGTCTGCTCTAAGACATCTAACTCATAACATGCTGGCTGACTTTTGTCAACGTGATACGCACCTACTTGTATCTGGGATGAGGGACTCTTAATGGAGAAGATACCTCTGTGAGATTCACCTGTGGGTACATCTGTGAGGTATTTTCTGGATTAATGACTGATGTGGGAGGGGCCAGCTCATGGGAGGAGAGTGCTACCTCTAGGCAGGATGTCCCGAGCTGTATAAGAAAGCAGGCCCAGCAAGCCAGGAAGAACAAGTCGGCAAACGACACCCTTCCGTGACCTCTGCTTCAGTTCCTGCCTCCAGGTTCTCGACTTGAGTTCCTGCTTTGACTTCTTTTCATGGTGGACTGTGCTGTGGAACTGTGAATGAAATAAACACTTTCCTCCCGAGTTGCTTTTGGTCATGGTGTTTTATCACAGCAGGAGAAACCTAAGACAGGTAATAGAAATATTTTCCCCTCACCTAACTTGAATTTAGCTACTTTCCATCTCAAGAAAGTGTCTTTGTTAACCCTCTACCAGAGAGCAAGGGCGTCTTCCCCATTCATATGTACTCCATGTGCCCTCTACATAGACGTCTTAAGTTCAAAGACACTCAGTGTGTTGCCTTGGACTCCTGGCTTGCCCTTGAGGTACCAGATACATCCTAACATTGTGCAATGAAAGAGGAAGAAGTGGCCACTAAGGCAGCAGAAACAGAAAGGAGAGTCAGGTGTTAAGAGATTGCTGGGTGACAGCACTTCAGAGCTTGGTGACACAGATCCACTGGTTGACTGGGACAGAGTTTTAACAATGAAAGGGAAAGTAAGACATCCTTTCTGTTAGGTTCTGAGCAGCAGGGGCTTGTGCACCTGTAAACTATCCATTTAGATGTCAGCATCACATTTCCTTGCCGATTGTTTTGTCCTATTAATGACTACAGAGAGTTCATGCTCCCCTCCACCAGTTAATTGCTCGGCATCACACGCTGCTCTGTGGGAGTCACAGAGGTGATTGGTAACCAGACACTGCCCTTACTTCTTAAACACCTATTACAGTTGCAGCCAACGTAACTTCACGAAGATAAACTGGTGCTGGGGGAAAAAAATCACCATCAAGTTATGTAAGTTTCTATTTTAAAATCATCTGGTTCTAATTTGCTAAAGTTAATGCTTTCTAGCTAATGCCAAAGTGCTACATTTGATTTATGGAAATGCTTTAGCACATTTTTCCATCGCACTCTTGGACAACATATTTACCACCCTTTTGTTATGGTTAGGAAGATTATGGACTTTAAAACAGCCTTCTTTATGAGCTTGCTGATATTTTATCATAAAATTCCATAAGATGGAATAAAAAAAGTCTAGCAAACCCCAGTATGCAGGGTCCATTCCACATGGCTTAACTTTATTTTATTTTATTTTACAAAGCGATCCATCTGGAAAATGGATGTTTAAAAACTTTCACTATGCCAAACCAATTCTTTTCAGGGTAAAACACTATTGGGGGGCATGCAGAGTATGGGTACATGTGTAGATGAGAGTCACACCAAGCTACACCGCTGACCAAATTCTAGTGCCATGAAGGAAACATGAAGACATGTACCAATCCAGACTTCCTCTACGCTATAGAGGGAGCTCAAAGAACATTCCAGGCAAACAGAATGAATGTCAGATCTCACAGCTATCGTTGATGCCTGTGGCTCAGGACCACTCACTCGACAGAGAGAAGTCAGCACAGAGCATGACTCAAGACTATTTTCACATCCCCATCCTTCATGTCCTACACCACAGTGACCCATGGTTCCAGGGAGCAGCAAAGGCAGGCAAACTCAGGTTCCAGGAATGAAATGTTTTTATTTATTTTGTGATGCTAGGGATTGAATCCTGGGCTTTCTAGAGAGTTCTACCATTGAGCCACATCCAAACCCGTCAATAAAGAAATTGTATACACACACACAATATACATGCATAATATACAATGGATACTCATAAACTAATGCAATATATATTCATTTGCATTTATAATAGACACATACATATTACATGTGAACATGTAACAGTACATGTACGTGCACACATATGTAACACATTGAACCCAGGGTCTTGCACAGGCTGTGTAGTGCTCTACTCCTGAGCTCTGTCTACAACAGGAATGAGCCATTTTCGTCAGTTCAGCCACATCACCCAGCACGGCCGTTTGTTCACTACCTTGAGACATTGTACAGAACACTCAAGAACTTGAGGAACACGCTGGCACAAGCCTCCCAGAGCAGCAGTGGTCCCCTTGAGGAAGCCACTCTCAAAGGTCACTGGAGCCCAGAGGTCTCCTTCTGTTTCTGTTCTGTGCAGGAAGTGCGGGTTTTCACTTCACACCCACAGGAAACAAGATGGCTGCCCAGGAAACGCCTCCCCCACCCCCTCCACCTGGCTCAGTCTGGTTCTTTAAAACAAAGTTAAGTTTCATTTCTTTCAAGCAGACTTCAGGCATATATTTGCAATGACAAGCTCCCAAAGGCACAGCAAGTCAAGGCGCAGTCTTTCCAGGAGTCTCTCTGTTTGCCTCTGGCGCTGGGCTCAAACTGTAAGTACTCAGCTACCTTGTCACGGAGGCCTTGTTATTGCCGGCCACGCAGCCCTGTGCTACAGCTGGAAAGTGTCTAGTCCCATCAAAACTCAGTCTCCGGTGAGACAGTGACAAAGGTGATGGGACCCGAAAGATGTCACAAGGCTCCGCCCTCGCTTTCTCTTACTGGAATGGCTTAGCCTTTGCAGTGCTTCCACCATCTTTCTCGAGGCTCATACCCACCTCCAGAAGCTGGGCAGGTGCAGCCTTCAGAACCTCGAACCCAGCTCAGCCCATTACTTGTAGAGCATATATTGTTCAGTTTCGGCTACTCAGCTATAGCTGAGCATCAGGTTAAGACATCATTCTTTCCCTCTTTCCCTGGGAACAATGTAATAAGACATGAACAACAGAAGGAGAGCAGCCGTGACCTCTTTTTCCTTCTGGATTCTTCTGAATTCTTCTTTGGTATCAGTCATTCAGGTCTATCTTCCCCCCACTCCACCCCACTCCTCAGTTCCCTGGAAAGGTCAAGCAGCCTCTGTTGATGAGTGCTATGTTCACCCTCAATCCCACCTACTATGTGATGGATACAGCCTCACATTGTATCCCATTGTAAACCCCATCTGTGCCTTTCTGCCAGTGCATTCTTCTTTGCACAAAAGTTGACCAAAAAAGCAGTCAGTTCCCCATCTGATGCAGTCAATAGTAAATGGGTTTTATTGAGATATGATCCTCGTGCATAAAATCCACTTTTACATAGTATATGATTCAGTTATTCTTGGCAGAATTCACGGAGGTGGATCAAAGAATTTCAGAATGCTTCCTTTACTTTAGGATGAAACTGCCTGGTAGTCTGGGCCACTCCCCATTCACACCCCCAAGCCCTTGGCAACTCATCTAATTTCTGTTTAGAGGCAGCTGTACTTTCGCACTTAACCCAGTTTCAAAGCCAAACGCAATCATGAGATCGGCTGTTAGTTTTTTTCCTGTATATTTAAAAATACATTTCAGATGCACGAGCACATGCATCCATCTAACACTTTACAAGGAAAATGAAGTGAAACATCTCAACCATGCCAGTGAAATACAGAGAAGGAAAGCAAACTTTGTGGGCAGCATGGGCAGGGCTTTGAAAGGCCTTCAGAGAGAAGAGGAATGCGGCTCAGCAGAGACAAGGATGGTGATTCCTTCCTATTCACCAAGGAGACTCCCCTGTGCCAGAAGCGGCTACATGGTTACCCAACCTGCATTAGGACTAATCAGATAGGAGCTAATTACCCTACATCACAAATGCTAAGGAGGTGATGGTCTACTCCAAGAGCACGTAGCATGGACTCCAGTGAAGCCAGCCTGGCATGAAGTTCCATGCTTAATATTTGGCATTGCCCTTGAACTCTGGGTGATCAAACAGGTGTGTGTGTGTGTGTGTGTGTGTGTGAGTGTGTGTGTATGAGTGTGTGTTTGTGAGTGTGTGTGTGAGTGTGTGTGTGAGTGTGTGTGTGTGTGTGTGGTGTTGGGTGTTGAAGCCAGGGCTTTGCGCATACTACAGAAGTCTTCTATCATTCACTACATTTACAGCTTTTCCATACATCTTCAAACTGGTTAAGAAAAACAGTTCAACAGGGAAATTCAATTACTGTTCTACAGACAGTCACCAGAAAACCAGCAACAGGCATTGTGCCTCCACTTCAGAAACAACAGGCCAGACAACACTTGGTGTCCAAAAAAAAAAAGACCCTGTGTACTCTAGCTGCCCTCGAGGACTCGGTACTGGGGACTTAGCACTGATTTGTGCCTTGGGGATGGAGGGGACAGAGTTCTGTTCAGCTAGCCTACTCATGGCCTTTGCAATCTCTGTTCTTCCAGGTGGAAGCTACAGGAGCCCTTGTTCTGCCACAACCCTTAGTCCAGGCTCACCTAGGAGCTGATGGCCAGGCTCTAGTGGACACTTAAGCTTCCCTGGATGCCAAAACCCCTTTGATCTATCTTCTCCTGTTCCTTGATGGGATGCTGAGGCCCCATTGTGGTCCTGGGAGGCCCAGTTTTCTCTACCTGGATCTCCCTGGCATGCTGGTCCCTGGTCACTGGCCCAGTCTCTTTGTCTTCTAGTTCATCCTTAAGCTGTGATGCTCCCCTGAGTCCCACTGGTCTCAGTCTTCCCCTGAAGCTGTTTCTTCTAGTCCAGTAAACTTCCATAGTTCACTATTCACATAGCAGTGACCACACCCTTGAGCTAATTTATATGTCAGCATGACTGGGCCGTGTTCCTCAGACATTTGATCAAATACTATTCTCAATGTTTCAGATGCTTCTAGAAATCTAGACAGGTCTGAAGACTTCAGACACACAGGTTGCTCTCCATAGTCATAGTGGGCGTCATCCAAACAGTTGAAGGCTTCAATAAAACACGCGCTTACTGAGTCCTATAGATTTAGATTTAACTTGGATGACAAGAAAACTATAGAAGACTGGGCTTCAAAGCAAGATGGACATGAGTTGGCTTCTCATGTTCTAGAAGTCTGAGATGCCAAAGCGTTCATGAAAGACAGGTTGTATCATCAGGTTGGGAAAGGAGCTGGCCACCTTGCTAGAGGGGGCTACTAAGGAGTTATAAGGAAACAATGCGGTATGGGACAAACAGCTGTTTAATTTTGGGTTTTAAGGAAATATAACCTACAATGGAAAGAGTAAGTCCAATCCCATAAAAATAAAATCACATAAGAAACAGTGACTTTCATTACATACTCTTGATCCCCATTTTCCTTAACAGGACAGACTGACTTAAATCTAAATAATAGTTCCACACTGACATTTCAGGAAAGAGAGTGGTTTTAGGGACCATG